ATACAAAAACTGAAAAACAATAAAGCTCCAGGTGAGGACGGGATAAAGAACAAGATGATAAAACTATTACCAAACAACTACATCTGCAAAATTACGCATACTTTTAATGTCTGCCTTGCTCATAATTACTACCCACAAATCTGGAAAAACGCATCAGTCATTCTATTTCTCAAGAAAAATAAGAACCCAAGCTGCCCTGAGAGTTATCGCCCAATCAGTCAACTTAACATACTTGGAAAAATATACGAAAAAATCATCTACAATAGAATAAAACCACTTCTTACAGTCCTCCCCGACGAACAGTATGGATTCCGACAAAAACTAGATACCACCAAACAGTTACTCCGAATAATAGACTATACTGGCAGAGCAATCATAAATAAAGAAACAATAGCCTTCCTGATGATCGACATATCCAAAGCATTTGATAAAGTATGGCACACTGGTGCAATATATATACTCATACAGCTGAATTTTCCACCCGGCATAATCAAACTCCTATCCCTCTATCTTTCTAATAGAACATTTCAAATCACCATCAAAATCAAAAAATCCACAAAGAGAAACATCGCAGCCGGAGTACCATAGGGCAGCATTCTGGGACCGATATTATACATATTATACACTTATGATTTTCCTATAAACAAAGCCGATTATAACAGCATAACAGCCTATTACGCAGACGATACTGGTATTATTATTAAATCCAGAAACCCGAATCATGCTCTTCAAAAACTACAAGACCATATAGACGAAATAGAAGACTGGTGCCTAAAATGGAAAACTGCACTAAATGCTGGAAAATCACAAATATTAATTATACAAAAAAGAAGAATTAAAATACTTCCACAACTTCAACCAAAAATGTTCAACATGCCAATACCAATAGTTAAAAAAGCAAATTATCTTGGCCTTATAATCAATAGCAAACTCACCTGGAATGATCACATCAAAAGCACAATAGATAAAGCAAATGCAGCAATAATAGCCATACAACCATTAATATATAATCAGAATATGTCACTAAAACTAAAGAAGCTACTATATACAGCAATGATCCGCCCTATGCCTCACCTGCCTGGACAATGATACCTCAACATCTACTGAAGAAATTAAACCAATGCCAAAACAAGATCCTTAGAAAAATAACCTGTGCAAGATGGTTCATCCGGAATACCAATATACATGTAGACCTCAAATTACCAACTCTATCACAGCATATATACAAGCTAAGCGCAGATTTTTTCGATAAAGCCATAGAATGTAAAACAGCAAATTTTAATGAAATCTTTAAATTTGAAAATTATAACAAAGATAAAAACTACAGACCAATAGCTGCACATTTCACCTCCGACGCCTCATATCATAACTATCAAAACAAATAATTTCATCAAC